ATTATAATAATTTATTCTTTTTTATATGGAATAAAAAATATATATAGTAGAGAAATATATATTATATATATAATACAAAAAATACAGCGCTAATCACAATTAAAATAATTGAAATAATATTTTTAAAAAATTCAATTATATCACTGCATAATCATTTCGTATATACTGTGCCGTTAATTCCTTACCGTTGCAGGAGCAACCACAGCAGCAATAATTTTTCGGATTCTTCTTCTGCGCCTCCTGCCGTCTTGCGCAATCGCAATGCTCACCCTTTCCTTCGTTGCGAACCAGGAGCTCATGATTCTTCGGTGCAGGCGTGTGCTGGATCAAGGCGAAAATCGCTGGCGCCGTGCCGCCCTCGGAACCGTCGATGTGCGTCGGTTTGCGCGGCTCGTACACTGGGTCCATTGGCGTTTCCCAACAGATTGCCAGGTCCATCCTAGTCTTTGGCTTCTTGCAGCCGAGCGCGGGCCCGAACAGATGACCCTCTGTCTCCAACGTCGCAGCATCAACGTCATCTTGAGCCTGATACTCGGTGTCTCGTTCGCAGCTGGCCGAACAAGAGCGATATCCTTTCTTGAAAATGGAGTCGTCCACCCGGTCCGGGAGTGGCTGATGCTGCAGGTTTTCCGCGTGCAATCTCTTCGCTAGAGCGAATTTGTCGGCACAGATGGCGATTTCTGGAACAAAAGAAGGTTCTTTAGTATAATATTACTACTCTGAAGAAAATTGCAAATTAATGTACTTGATTATTAAAATTTCGAATATCGCTGGAATACTTTTTAATGAAAAAGAAAAACTGTTTTAATCTCACCATGCTGTTTCTCTTCTTCAAAAATTCTTCGAGATCTGAGACATCCAGGCACATGTTTTCTCGGACTAGAAGGCGTTTTCGACTTTTCCAAGATACATTCGGATCGATAAGTCTTGCGAAGATCGTCGTCGCTCTGCCGGACAATCGATTTACCGCGGCAACGAGAGCAACACTCGCGCGTATCCATATTCTTGCCGATCGATTCTTCTTTACCGCTCGCTCGTCATTTGGGGATTACATAACGAATGCGCGATTCAACGAGCAGTCAACAGGGACGGAAGCATGTTGTTTCCGAAGCACGTTTTTCCAGAACGAGAGAAACTAAATGGAAACCATCGGTGCCGTTTGTCCTCCATTTTTGGAAAATATCCAGGATTATCATATAAGAATCCCGGAAACCTCGCTCCCACTCTTGACGCCGGTCTCCCTGGCGACATGATAATTCGATATCAAGCTGACTTACTATTATAAGAATCGGGAAATATACTATAAAATTAAAGATCACGAAAATTAATCTGAATTTATATTTTTCTGTGTAAGATTAATATTTTGAGGTTCTCAAAATACTGTAATTTTAACGATTACAATGTTTCGTATTTTTCAGAAATAAAATGGATTTGGGAGCTTTTCGAAACCGTCGACTTAAACCAGCGTTGGACGCCATTGCATTCAACTGTCTACATTTTATACATGTTTCCCTATTATCTTATAATCGGGATTCGTGGACATTACTCCGAAACGTAATTCTGGATCCAACCAAAGGAAAGCCGAATTAATTTAAGGAATTTTGCTGCGAGTCCATACCATGAACAGCTCAGCATCTACTTTTCTCGGTAACGAACTGGGTCACGCGTGAATTCGCGTGCGTCACGTAAGCGCAAGGTAAGTCAAAATACACGTTTTCTCAACGTGTCTCGAAATTACATATTTCCAGATCGGNNCGAGATGCGAATGTTAATTCAAAATGCCCTCATAAATATTACCAATATCATTATCACGCTACGCGTAAATTTGTAAAAACGGAAAAACTGAAACATTCTTATTGCGCCGATTAAAATCAGAAAGCGTGAAAAAGATCAGTGTTAAGCCAATGCATTTGTATTTATTTATATCGACGAGTACGCTTTCCTGGATCACTGCTATTTTCCCCCCGGTTTCACTAAAAGATCATGATGCGTAGAGAATCTACTGTTAGACCTCGATTGAAACATGTGGATGGAACATGCGACAGTCGTAAAGCCATACCCGTTTGATTCCTTTTCTGGTTTCTGTCCACTGTTCCTAATAAAATATTCACGAAGAATTAGCGGAAAATAGAATAAGCGGTTAGCTAGTGCAGCGATCGAACGAGAAGTGTGTGCATGTGTCTGTTTCGTTGAAGATTCATCCCGAGTTCGTTAAAAATAGTCAATTCTTCTCGTGTATACTGAATCAATTAGATATAAGACTGTCTCACACTATCACCAAAATGTTTCGTACAAGAAACTGTAGTGAAGATTTTTATTAAATTCTATTGAATTTATATTTATATTTATACTTGATAGATTTCTTATAGCGCGTTGAAATCATATTTGATGCTTAACATTGTTTCCTGTATATTATATTTTTATCTATAGACGTATTTTATTTATAGAGGCAGTCTCTGAAGAATTAATTATAAATAAATTTTGAATACATCTTTGATAGTAATGTAATAAATTAATACGTCGAATTTTTCAAGATTATATAATACATGTTATATAAAGATCTGTCCGCTCGTTCAATTAGTCAATATTGCAAATTATCGTAGAAAAATCTTGAGAACACAGATACATATATAACAAAGAAATAATCGCGAGTTTTAATAGCTCATGGAGCCAAGCGTGCTTTTAATTGCGTTAACGATCACATGTTATTCGGAACAACCCAGGGAAAATACGCGGTCATGATACGTTCCCGCTATAATATTAGTAGTGGCAGATCGTGACGTGAGGATGAATGAATCAGTCACGTCGCGCGGCGGTAAGATCAGTAGACCAGAGTACGTCATGCGTGCAGGACAGTCCGTATCGTGAACCGTTGCACGAAGAACAGAGAAGAGCGTTCTGAAATACCTGGTGATTTAATTTACGGTGAGTGAATGAGCAAGTAAAGAAAAAGTAAATAAAATAAAATATAAAGTTGAAATTTAAACCTTTGAAACACTGATAATCTAAAGAATAGCTGAGTGATATTTTATTGTGCTCTGTGATGAAAAGTGCAAGTGCAAAATAGCTACACACATTCACAAAGAGATTTTAGGAGTATGAATTAAATTTTTATATATATTATATTTTTATATATTTATATAAAACATAAATATATATTTTTTGGATTTATGTAAAAGACGCGAGTGAAATAGTTTTGTATGGCAACAAGTCTCAATTAACAATAGCAAATGTCAGAATGTAATAGTGCGATATGTAAAATGTGTGAAACTTTTAATCATCTTGAGGTATGTTTGCGGTTTTCCGGTCACGATAACGAAAAAAAAATAGTTTCTCGAATATAGAATAACACTCCTTCGCGTACGAAATAATATGAATAGAACGTAAAATAAAATACGTTTTTTCACAGGTGGTATTTCTCAACTGGCGTGAATTTGATTCAGTTTCCTGGCAGCATGGACAGCAAAACGAAGACTGACGGTGACGAGATAATGTATCTGGAAGAAA